CACACACACACACACACACACCCTGAACTGCAGGTGGCACCCCAACCTGCCTCATCTGTCTCACCTGTCTCCCTCATCTTACCTGTCTCACCTGTGTGCAGTAAGCTTAAGGAGTCTGAAGAGAGGAGTAGGGAGATGGGGGAACAGATGGAGAATCTGAAGAAGGAGATGGAGGACAGTCGCTCCCGTTCAGACAGAGGTGAGACTTAGTCTTAAGACTCTTTCTACGACACCAAATGTGGATTAATCAGCCTCTGGAAATAATCCCCAACAAATGCACAGTTTCCTCGTGTTCCTGCAACCAAAACCTACGAACACAACACTTAACATCAGTGATGTGTTTTAAAGTTTTACCACTTCAGAAGAGACCATCAGTGGGTATATTCAGAAAGGCACTGAGGATATTCACGTCGTTTGAAAACATTTAGTAGATTATTAATGAAAAGGGTCCTGAAACTGAACCTTGAGGGACACTATATTTAACAAGCTTTGGGTGTCTGGTGTTTACATTACATCTGATAACAAGAAGTACAAGTAGAAAAGTCTAGTGATGTATTTTAACTTTCTGTCTGCAGGTCTGAAGCTTCCAGATTTCCAAGACTCCATCTTTGAATATTTCAACACGTCACCTCTGGCTCCAGACCTGACCTTCAGAGTGAGTCTTGTGATAACCACTGCAGTAATACTACTACTAGTGCTGCAGCTATCGATTCTTTTAGTAATCAATCAATTTTTTAAACGATGCTTTCTTTCGTCTTGTTTCTTTGTAATGAACAAAAACAAGAAATGGCGCTGAAAACAACCACTGGCAACAGAATCTTTTGGGGAAACTCTGTCCTCACACTCAATGTGCAACAGTAATAGTTATCCGTGTGAAACAGTGGCAGCTGAGCAGTAAGAGATCCCGTCTACAGACATTCACTGGCAGTATATGGATTAAACGAAGCTCAAAGAATTTGAATTGATGAGTTTCTCGAGGAATAATCTGTCATTTCTACGACTGTAGTAGTATTACTGTAGTGGATCAGATACAAACATTATACACATATTTTCAACATTCTTTTTTCACCTGCAGACCTTAGAGATAGACTGCATCACCCAGAGATCGGGGACCCTCTCCCCCTCACCCTCTACCACATCTGAACACGAGGTCAGTCTCTCTCACGCACACACACACACACACACACACACACACTAACACACTAGGGCTGTGCAATTCACCGAAATTATGCTGAAACTGACATTCATAACTTTTTTTCGACCTCATTTTGCTCGTGTCGGTTAATTCGGTTGATATAGGCAGCCGCTGCCTCAGGATCAGACACACATTCATTCAATTCAGTTTTATTTGTATAGCACCAAATCATAATAAACATGATCTCAAGGCTCTTTACATAGAAGGTCAAGACCTTAAAATCATATTAATATAGAGAAACCAACAGTTGAACAATGAGCAGACTGTGGAGAGGTTATAGGTCTGGTATGTTCTCCCTCCTCACTCGCCCACTGACCTGCCTCACTTTACACGTTAACACTAATCAGAACTTATCAGGACCTGAACAATGAGGTGGGGGTGGGGAACCTTTTTTCTATCAAGGGCTATTTTCATTTTCATAACATCTTCCGAGGGCCATACTAAATTATTGTTTATCATTAACACATAAATCACACCAGGGCTCCAGGCTAGCTTTTTACATTGGTTGCACTGGTGTGCTGAACTTTTTCATTTAGGTGCACACAAATGTTTTGTGCCTTTTTGGAAAGCAATAGTACACCTATCAAACCTTTACTTTACATCCCCATATACATTGGTAATTTCTTAATTAGGGCTATCAGGGGTCGCCACTGATTTCGATTCATTTCAGAATAACAAAGTCTCCATTTACATGAGCTAGTTAGTATTACAGAGTTTCTCCTAGGATTGTGTTGTGTCTGTATATGTGTGTGTGTTTGTGTCCTGTGAACTCTGAAGTAAATAAAAATCACAATTTGTCTCATAGGCTTTAACAAGGTGTGACATCATCTGTTCTTAACTCAACAAGAGTAAAACTACTGAAAATCCCTTTCAACAGGGGAAAGAATGGAGAAACCTCAGAGAGACACGTGAGGATCTACTGAGGAAGTGCAGTAGATGCCACGTGTAAATAAGAACGTCAGGAAAATATGAGTATTTGCAGTACTGGTTAGTGTGTCCTGATAATGTTTCCTAGTGGAAGCAGATATAATGAGAATAAAATTGGGCCGAGCACAGAACCCTGAGGAGAGAGAGACCAGTTAAATGATAGAGGTGCAGCGGTGAATTCCATCAAACAAGACGTTCCTCACCCCTGCTCTTGAGTTTATGACACACGTATTTAAACACAATGAAAAAAAGTTCCACCTTTTGCGTGCATGCAGTTCAGCTGCTACACAACATGAGACGTGACGAGCTCAGTAAGGACATCAG